CTGAAAGACCCAAGTACACAGCCCAGAAACCCTGCAGAGCCCTTCTGCTCTGTCCTGCAGGGTCGGCATGAGTCAGTGGGTTCTGACTGGGTTCACGGAGCTGCATGAAGGCGTGGGTGAGTCCCTTGCCCGCTGTGGGCCAGGTCCATCCTCCTTCCCAGGTGGGCGCATCCTGAGTCATAGTTCCAGTGCCTTGGGTGTGTTTCCCACCCTCGGGGATAGCCCTCAGTGTCGGAAGTGGAATCACCGGGGCATGGGCGGAGGGAGCACAGTACTGGGCGTTGTCTTCCGTGGGAGACCCTGTGAGCCCGACATCCTGGGTGTGGTGGCCCTGACTCTGCTCTCTCCCCCACCCCTGCCCAGCTCCCCCTCCGGGGCTCCGCGGGACACTGGACCTCCAGGTTATTCGAGTGCGGATGGAGCAGCCTATTCAAATGCGGATGGAACAGCCACCAGCCACTGCTGTCAGCTTCCTGCGGGACTGGCCTGCAGTCCTAGCAGAATCTAGCACCCTGGAACGTGGGGAGCCCAAGGCCAAGGGTGGGGTGTAGGTGCTGCTGTGCTGGGAGAGAGAGAGACGGTGGCATCCTCTTTGGATTCAAACTTGGAGCTGCCCTGCTTGACTGCCTGGTGCAGAGCGAAAGGTGCCTGGGCAGGGGTTGCTGGTGCAGCCAGAGCTGGGCGTTGGGTGTGTTGAGCACACCCACACAATCCTTTTGTGTACCCAGACCTCCCTCTGTCCCAGTCACACCCTCTGCCCCTGTAGACCCCCACCAGAAATTCTCCCTTGGCACAGTGCCTTACAGAAGAGGTGGTCTCGGGGTTTGAACTGAATTCTACTACCTCGAAGGACGCCTCTCTCCCCTCTCCGGTGGGCTCCATTACCTCTTCCCACTTCATCCCAGCAGGAAGTGAAACCGCCCCCTGGGCTCCCCCTCACTCCCCTCCTGGACTCCCTCTCACTCCCCTCCTGGGCTCCCCCTCACTCCACTGTATATATCTTATTTGTTGACAATAAATTATTTTTTTTTTATTAAGAGAGCTCGAGATGGGACCCTCCTTGGGAAGGTGTTTGGGACAGAAGAGTTGCGTGTGCCGTTGCTTGGGTGAGGGTGGAATAGGGTAGATGGGCTGGTAGCTCCTCTGGGAGCCACTAGCAGGGAGAAAAAGCAGCAGGACTTAGCCAGGAGAGGGCTTGGGGGGCGGGGGCACTGCCAAGAGGATCCTTTGAAGTGAAATGTTTGCTCTACTTACTTAACTGTCAGTTTGTGGTACTGTGGTCATTTGCAAATTGCTGTAATGCTGGAAGCTATGTCACTAGTATTTGAAATACCGGCAAGGTCGCCCAAGGTGAACAGGTTTCAGCAGTGCTTCCAGACTAAACTGTACGAAGGAATGGGCTGTGCGGGTCTGAGGAGCGATTGGGTCATGTTAAGGATAACGGTAGAACCTTGTCAGAGACTGAAAGCCTAACACCAAAATTCTCACATGATAACTGAGAAGAGAGCTTGTCCAGGGTTTGATCTTGCTGGGATCCGCCATCAGTGCTCATGGAACAACAATCAGGAGATTAGAAGACTTGTTGCATTAGGTCAGTCCGCTGCACAAGGTCTCTTTACAGTGTCAAGGAGCAACCGTGTCACTTGAAGACTAAGGCACTCCTGGCCCAGCCATGGTGTTTTCAGTCTCATCTGCGCTGACGGTCGGACACTGAATGAGGAGGCCTGAAGGAGAATGGGTGCATTTGAAGCATGGTGCTGGCGGAGAAGAGGGAGCGAGCGCGCTTTGAGCTGCCAGAAGACCAAACAGCTGACTTGGAAGAAGGTAGCTGAATGCTCCTTGGCAGGGAGGACGGCCAGTCCCTGAGCAGGACTCAAGCTTGGCAA